TTTTATTTCCCCCACCACTTTGCCCTGTTTTTATTTTCTCCCCACCCCTCTGCCCGTTTTATTTCCCCACCCACTTTTGACCTGTTTTTATTTCCCCTTTGCCCTGTTTTATTCCCCCACCCACTTTGCCCTGTTTTTTTCTCCCCCACCCACTTCTGCCCTGTTTTATTTCCCCCACCCTTTGGACCTGTTTTATTTCCCCACCCACTTTGCCCTGTTTTATTCCCCCCACCCACTTTGCCCTGTTTTATTTCCCCCCCCCCACCCACTTTGCCCTGTTTTATTCCCCCACCCACTTTGCCCTGTTTTATTCCCCCCACCCACTTTTGCCCTGTTTTATTTCTCCCCCACCCACTGTGCCCTGTTTTATCCCCCCCCACTGTGCCCTGTTTTATCCCCCACCCACTGTGCCCTGTTTTATTTCTCCCCCACCCACTGTGCCCCGTTTATCCCCCACTCTGCACCGTTTTATTTCTCCCCCCCACCTGCACCGTTTTATTTCTCCCCCCACCCACTCGCATAGTTTTATTTCTCCCCACCCACTCTGCATAGTTTTATTTCTCCCCCACCCACTCATCGTTTTATTTCTCCCCCCACTCCTCCGTTTTATTTCTCCCCCACCCACTCTGCCTCATTTTATTACCCACCTCCACCACTTTCTCTCTCTCTTTCCACTACCATCGCAATAATTAATTTCCCTACAACTCTTCAATATTTACCCCACAAAAGATCTTTTTCTTTATTCCTAAAAAATTCATCAACTTTCAAATCCTCTTTCGAAAATTCCAGGTTTTTTCCCATGTTTTACATTTGAGTAAATGTAAAAAAAGCTATAAGGTATATCTGCATTTATAACTTTATTCCCCCCCCCTCAAAAAAATAAATACCATTTGTAAGTACATTTATAAAAACAATAAAGAATTAAGTATGTACTTAGGCATTTAATCAATATATCATTTCAAGATTTATGTAATAAGCAATTTAATATTCAGTATCCCATGAATAAAATTTTACTGTATATAATTTTTTAATTTATTTTAAAAAATTTAGCTGTTAAAATATTTGAAATGCCATAAAAGAAAAATTCTAACTCCGAAATGAAATTTTCATTCGTAATAAACCCTGAAAGTAGGGATTAGCAAACCATTGTAGTACACACTTTATGGTGTTATCGGTTATAGAGTGGCAGAGCAAATTTGGAGAAGGAAAATAAGACAGAAAATGAAGAATTATCACTGGCAATAAATATCTTATATTGGAAAGAAATTTTTCTTTTCTTTTTCTTCTCTTTCTGTGTTGTTCCTCTCTCTCTGTGTTGTTCCTCTCTCTCTGTGTTGTTCCTCTCTCTCTGTGTTGTTCCTCTCTCTCTGTGTTGTTCCTCTCTCTCTGTGTTGTTCCTCTCTCTCTGTGTTGTTCCTCTCTCTCTGTGTTGTTTCTCTCTCTCTCTCTCTCTGTTTTGTTTCTCTCTCTCTCTCTCTGTTTTGTTTCTCTCTCTCTCTGTTTTGTTTTCTCTCTCTCTTTTGGTAATTTTCTCTCTCTCTCTCTCTTTTTTTTTCCTCTGTCTCTGTTTTTTTTCCTCTGTCTCTGTTTTTTTTCCTCTGTCTCTGTTTTTTTTCCTCTGTCTCTGTTTTTTTTCCTCTGTCTCTGTTTTTTTTCCTCTCTCTCTGTTTTTTTTCCTCTCTCTCTGTTTGGTTCCTTTCTCTCTGTTTGGTTCCTTTCTCTCTCTCTCTCTCTCTCTCTGTGTTGTTCTTCTCTCTCTCTCTCTCTCTCTGTGTTGTTCTTCTTCTTCTCTCTCTCTCTCTCTGTGTTGTTCTTCTCTCTCTCTCTCTCTGTTGTTCTTCTCTCTCTCTCTCTCTGTTGTTCTTCTCTCTCTCTCTCTCTGTTTTTCTTCTTCTCTCTCTCTCTCTCTGTTGTTCTTCTCTCTCTCTCTCTCTCTCTGTTGTTCTTCTCTCTCTCTCTCTCTGTTGTTCTTCTCTCTCTCTCTGTGTTGTTCTTCTCTCTCTCTCTCGTTCTCTCTCTCTCTCTTCTTGTCTCTCTTTTTCTCCCTTCTAGTATTCATAGATCTTTAAAAGATTTATTTTTCAATGTATGGTTATAATTACTGTTTGGATTTGTTAGCATTTATTAGGGTGGGGCGATTATTTTCCAATTGGAGTCAGTTGCTCCTACTTAAGCTTTTTTTTTTCTTTGTTTTCTTTTCTTGAAGCAGGTGTATCCCTGCCTCCCTTTCCAGATTGGTGTTGCAAATCCTTTTGTCCCACTCTGCACTCCCACTGGTAATTAGCCTTGTGTCAGACAAAAGGAAACTTAATAAATATTTATAATTTCATAGATGATGAGGAAACGAACATGCATACACAAAAGACAGACCCAGGAATAACTGAAATTTTATTGACATTGTCAATCCTATGTGTATCTTGGCATATGCATGCACATTATGTGCGTGTGTGATATATTATTCACATATAAAATTTTGAAATTATACTGCTGCCTTAGTACTAGTCTTGCTCCAGACGGCTTGTAGGAGACCTTTTTTTTTTTTTTTTTTATATGGTTTAACAGTTAAAAAAAAATCAGTAGATCTTCCTCTATGATTTATTATCACAGTTTTTTTTTTTTTTTTTTTTTAATTCTTATACCATTTCTACTCCATCCAAACGAGAGCAAACCTTTTTAAAGTGTATAGGATGTACTCAGTCTGGGTATTGGTAATATGTAAGCATTACCCAGATTCAAACATTTTCCAAGTTGTGGCAGAAATACCTCCTACATATTGGTAAGTCATTAGTGGCAATGGTGTCTTCATTTAGTTAATGGCATACTGTAATGTCAGAGGTACTTCTTCTGCACCCTACATAGTGTGGATCTATATATAGGTTGACTGTAGTCAATGTGATCCTTTCATTCACTAGGATTTTGTACTTCTTCTAGACTAGTTGCCTTTCAAGGTTACGGAGCCCCAACTACCCTACTATTTAACTGAAGGTTTTGTATTCAGAGTTGTCCTTTTAATAGACCAGTTGCCATCCAAGGCTATAGGATCCAGTTTGCCTTGCTATTAGTATCTTGTATCTTGATATAAACATTGAAATCTTTTTTTTATTTCTTTTTAATTCTATAAAAATCTTCATGAACAATTTTATTATAAAAAAAAAAAAACCTATGTTGAAAGTTGTTTCAAAATACTAGTTTTATAACTGTTTTTGGTCTTAAACAGAATTCTTAACATATTTTACCGTGAATCACGTATTGATAAAATAAGATGCTTTCCATTATTTTTTTTTTTGTTAGTGAGTGTGTGATTGATTGATTGATTGATTGTGTGTGCGTGAGACACACACACACACACACACACACACACACACACAGAGTGTCTGCTATGAAAAGCTGGGTGAGACATTTTATGTTGTACACGGGGACTTTTTTTTTTTTTTTTTTTTAATAAATGAAAGCTAGAAGTAACAAAATTTGTTAAAATTATTTTAAAGTCAGTTTTTGGTGTGCGAGATCTTGGTTAGATAAGAGAAATTAAGAGTACAACGTGTTAAAAAGCAAACCCAAAATCTTGTTTTATGAAACTAAGCTTTTGTTCCACTCAGATTTAAAAAAAAAAAAAAAATCTGTAAAGGTAATTGATTGTGGTTTTACTTTTTGAAAGTTTTTTTTTTTTTTTTTTTTTTTTTGGTGAGGGTGAGGGATGATTTGTTGGTGACCATTATTTTTCTGGGGAGATATGAAATAGAAAAGAGAGAGAAAGAATAAAGACAAAAATCAAAAAGAAAGGAAAGGATAAGTAGAAAAAAGATTAACAAATTAACAATATCACAGTGAGTTTTTGAAAGAGGGTGTATCTTCCTTCCTTCGATATTTTGAAAAAGCAGGTATGACTGCTATGGAGACAGGGTTGTTTGCGGTTTTTATGAAATTAAAAGATTAAAAAAAAAATGTACTTTCATTTTTAAACTCTCAATTCAATAAAAGTTTTTCATTATTTTATTGAAAAGGATAGTACCCTATATTTTTTAATTTTTTTTACAGACAGAGAAGTAAAACTATCTTTGAAAATCTCTTCTCCAAATAATCTGTGCTTAAGTATTTGGTGAAAAAAGATCAAGATAAAACTATTTTAATAGGTGAATTGTGATATTGTTAAGTTAATTTGTTCATCTTTTTTCTACTTATCCTTTCCTTTCTTTTTGATTTTTGTCTTTATTCTCTCTCTCTCTCTCTGTTTCTCTCCCTCTCTCTGTTTTTCTCTCTCTCCCTCTCTCTGTTTTTCTCTCTCTCCCTCTCTCTGTTTTTCTCTCTCTCTCTCCCTCTCTCTGTTTTTCTCTCTCCCTCTCTCTGTTTTTCTCTCTCCCTCTCTCTGTTTTTCTCTCCCCTCTCTCTTTTTTTTTCTCTCTCCTCTCTCTGTTTTTCTCTCTCTCCCTCTCTCTTTTTTTTCTCTCTCCCTCTCTCTGTTTTTCTCTCTCTCTCCCTCTCTCTTCTACCCTTTTTCATTTATTCTTTTCTTTTCCTTTCCATCTTTTTCTTTATCTCCTTTCCTCTTCTATATCTCTGAACAAGTCTGTTTTTCGTTGCCAAGTTTTCAAATACAACTTGTCTTGACTGATATTCTCCAAGTTGTTGGTAATGATGAAGAGTTTCTAACAAACAAGACCACTTCTCGTTGATAGTACACTTCCCGTCCTGGCTACAAGTGACTTGTTCTTGTATCTCTAGTGGAACTAAAAATGCCTTACCCTCCACCTGTCAAATTGAAAGAGTGACTGTTTTAGACCATTATAACAACGTTTACCTAGAATGAGGAAAATAAGAGTTAGGTTAAATCCAGACACTGTACATTAATTCATTTCTTTTGCTCTCTTTCTTTCTTTCTTTCTTTTTTTATTTTTTTTTATTTTTTTAAGTGAATTATTTCAAAAAGATATGAAAGCGACTTCATTGATTTTGACAACTAATGTGCAAAGGAGGTGGTTTAAGATAAGCATACCCTCCCCCCCAAATGGGATACTTTCAAAAATATAGGGAAAGATTCGTTTTAAACGTACTTTAAGATACCTTTGCAGTAAAAATAAAATTAAAAAAAAACCTTGACTCAGTTTTCTAGGTAAAAAAAAAAAGAAAAGAAACTGTAACTCTGCCCTCTTTAGCAGTCTTGCTAGGAAAGGCTACCCACCTTTAGCCGCGTGTGTGCACACATGAGTCTGAGTCTAGCTAGGAAAGGCTGCCCCCTTCCATTTTCGACGTCAGGCTAGGAAAGACAGCCCCCACCCTTTTAGCCGCCTAGCTACGAAATTTAATTTCTTTTGTTTGTTAAAGTAGTTGCCACATAAAAATGTTCTGGGGAGAAAGTGTGTGTGTGTGTGTGCGTGTGTGTGTGTGTGTGTGTGTGTGTGTGTGTGTGTGTGTGAGAGATATGCGCGGTAGTGTAGTGGATAGCGACTCTGATAAATCAGAGAGCTGTGTTCAAATTCCAGTCGAATTCGTTAGATTCACTTAAGTACAGATAGACTTGAGAAAGGCATAAATCCAACTCTTTTTTTTCTCTCTCATCCAGCTACGGGTAAATACCAGAATAACCTTCGTTGGCAACCAGTATAGGAGCTGAATTCAAAATCTGAGGAGAGTTGTTTAGAAACCTTGTGTCACCCTATGTGCATGAGTGTGTTTGGTTCAGCACAAGCCTTCACCACTATAATCAAATCATGTGTGGGTAGTTGGGTTATTCCTTTCTAAGAACTGAGTTGCTGGACCCTCATGCATCAAAAAGGACGGAAGATGTGTGTGTGTGTGTGATAATGTGTATATATATATGTGTGTGTGTGATAATGTGTATATATATATGTGTGTGTGTGTGTGTGATATATATATATATATGTGTGTGTGTGTGTGATAATATGTATATATATATGTGTGTGTGTGTGTGTGATAATGTGTATATATGTGTGTGTGTGATAATGTGTATATATATGTGTGTGTGTGTGTGTGTGTGTGATAATGTGTATATATATGTGTGTGTGTGTGTGATAATGTGTATATATATATGTGTGTGTGTGTGATAATGTGTATATATGTGTGATAATGTGTATATATGTGTGTATATATATATATGTGTGTGTGTGATAATGTGTATATATGTGTGTGTGATAATGTGTATATATGTGTGTGTGTGATAATGTGTATATGTGTGTGTGTGTGTGATAATGTGTGTGTGTGTGTGTGATAATGTGTGTGTGTGTGTGTGTGAATATGTGTGTGTGTGTGATAATGTGTGTATATATATATATATGTGTATGTGCGTGTAAGACGTGTATGCGCATAATGTGTCTGTAATGTGTGTATGTGTGTGTATAAATACGTGTATATGATGTGTATATGTGCATGTATATTGTATATAATATGTATATATAATATAGAATATATATGTAAATAATATAATCTATACCCATGCACGCACGTACACACACACACACACACACACACACAGTGTTCACTTTAATAATATCTTGTTGAATGAAGTTATACTTCAAGAAAGTAGACAATTAAAAAAAAAACAAAAAAAAACTGGTATCTTTAATTTGCTAATTGTCAGACTGTTTTCTATTTTCGTAGCTGTTTTGGTTCTAGACTCAATTGAAGTTTTCACTTGTTTGCCGAAAATGTCAGACTAATTTCATCATAGCTCCAATCAAAAATAAAGAATGAATATTTCCTTCAACATAGCAGCCACTACCATCATCACAGCGGTGATGAACTACTACTTGAATTAACTGTCTGGAAACACTGGCTAATACTCAATTCTTCTTTATAGCGATTTAGTAAGCATAGCTAAGATGTGGCACAAGGCCATAAGTATGGTGCACCTAGTGAGGATCAAACTCACTGTTCAGTTGTGATTGATCTAGTGAGACAAGCTTGCTAACCATTACACCATGTCGAAGTGTCCTATGAGGTTTCTTTAGTGTAGCTTGGGTGTGGCACAAGACTGTAAGTATGGGGCACCTAGTGAGGGTCAAACTCACTACTTAGTAGAAATTAATCTAGTAAGACCTGCTTATAACCATTACAACACGAAAAGCCTAAAAATGATTTTTTAAGTGTAGCTGAGATGTGGCACAAAGTCGAAAATGTGAAGCACCCAGTGAGAATCTAGCTCTCTATTCAGTCGTAATTGATAATGCAAGATACACTTGTTAACCCTTATATCATGTAGAGGTGCCTAAGAATGATTTTCTAAGTGTATCTGAGATGTGGCACAAGGTCGAAAGTATGGAGCACCCAGTGAAGATTGAACTCACTATTCACTCATAATTGATTAGCTTGCTAACCATACACCACGTCAGTGTTCTATTGCTTTACAAGGGGTAGCTTAGATGTTGCAGAAGACCAATGGTGAGGATTGAAATTGGTCAGTTGTAATTGATATAGCATGAAACATTTGCAAACCATTACATCACATCATAATGCTGAAAAAATGATTTCCAAAGTGTATCTGAGATTTGGCACAATGTCGTAAGTTTGGAGCATCCCCAGAGGACAAGCTTGCTAAGCATTACATCATGTCGTAGTGCTCTAGTTCTTTATTGATAATATGTACTGTCACTATCCAATAATAGTAGTTTTGTTTTATGGCATATCAACCACAATGGGTTATTTAATGCCGACAATTTTTATTGCTGTTAATATATTTTTTCCCCAAAAATGCATTGCTGTTAATATATATATATACAGTGTAATCCGGATATAAGAGAAACCCGGGTATAAGAGAGTTTTTCTCTGGTCCCAAATTAGAGCCTGTGTTAATGTATATAAAATAGACCAAACCTGGATATAAGAGACTTCTTCTCCGGTCCCGACAACTCTCTTATATCCGGGTTACACTGTATATATATATATATATATATGCATTGCTGTTTATATATATATATATATATATATATATATATATATATATATATAATAACAGCAATGCATTTTTGGGGAAAAATATATTACCAGAGATTGAAACTGCAAACGTTTTTTGTTGTAATGTGGATTTTTTTTTTTTTTTTTTTTTTTTTTAAATATTATGCTTTATTTTCCATAATTTTGCTGCACGTGTTTCCAGTCTGGCAACCGTCATCAGGCAAAGGGTGGAGATTTACACATATAAGAAAAAAATTATTTTTAATAATGTTTTTTTGTTGTTAAATATTCTCGATATGAGACATTCTCTTTTTTTGCATGTTAGTGACCCAAATGTATTTCTTGAACTGCTCTTTTTAACATACACACACTTTTCTCTCGTTGGAACTACTATAACCTCTTTGTTTTTTATATATATATATATATTTTTTTTTTTTTTTTTCCTCAAAAATGTATTGTTGGTAATAATTTTTTACAAAGTGTTTCTGGTAATAAAACATATTTTTACACTTTCATAGTGTTTTGACCCCAATTTGAGGTTTAACTATTTCCCCATAGGTGCTACCACCTCAGGTCAAGGGGGAACTGAGAACACCATCAATTAAGAGGTGGTTCCATGCTTCTCAAAACTTTCTGATCAGATGCCTTGCTGTTGGAAGTAGTTTATCGCCTTACCCAGGATGTGGATGCAGTTTATCATCATACCCAGGATGGGATATTAGTTGGTACATTTCATGTATGAAATCTGCATACAAGTGTATAAACTATTATGGGACAACAGTAATTCACTAATAAACAGATTTTTAGGTTCCATTCCTTAACTGGTTATATAGAAATATGGTTGGTTAGTTTTGCTTCTGCCCCTGCCAGCATTGTAAGCCGAGAAAAAAAAAAATGTCATATTTCTGTACATTACCAATCAGAAGAGCAGCACACTGTGCCTCAGTTTGTAAAGATGTTTGTATCAACCATCTGGCTTTTGGAATTTGGGTGGATTTTTATACTTGTAAAACAAATACTGGGACTGATATTGTGAGTGTGAGTAGTTTCCTGTTATTGTAGCTGAAAGCTTGTTAAAGAAAGCAGATCTAGGATTTTACAAGTACAGGAAAGAAGTTCTAACAAAAAAATACTCATTTTCAAAGATGGGGCCGCCCTGCTTGTAAGAGTGGTGCAACATGTTCATCCTCCCCTCCATTTGGATTTATGATACATCAAGTTAAAACTGTTAATATGAAAGAAAAGAGGTGTTATTGCTCAATTGGTAAAAATGTTAAGCTAATTCAGAAATGTACCGGTTGATGTTAGGGTGTCAGACATGAAATGATGCACTTCATAGGAAATGAATAAAATGCTTCTGAAATGTTAAATAACTATTTAGTTGAAATAGGCACCGTGTAGATGAATGACTGTCCTCTTTATCATTAAAAAATTCTCATCCTTTGATGCGATAAACAGTTCAAATGCTTTGATTACCTCTTTCTTATTGGAGAATGTTTTATTGTGTATGAAAAGCTCAAAATGCTTAAATAAGTGATAATCAGTAGGAGAGATATCAGGTGAATATGGAGGATGAGATAAAATTTCATAATTCTGGCTATGCAGCTTTTGGACACTTGATTGAGAAGCATGTGGCCGTGTAACAAAATTGGG